TAGTGAAGATTCAAGTTTGTTCAAATCATGACCCCCCCAGGGGTAGGGTGGGGCCACAATGGGGGATCAAAGTTTTACATAGAAATATATAAGAAAATATCTCTAAAAATCTTCTTCTTAAAAAACAGTAAAGCCATGATTGGTCATATTTATATGGAAGCATCCTCAGGTAGTGAAGATTCAAATTTGTTCAAATCATAACCCCCAGGGGTAGGGTGGGGCCACAATGAGGGATCCAAGTTTTACATAGAAATATATAGGAAAATATCTCTAAAATCTTCTTCTTAAAAACAGTAAATCCATGATTGGTCATATTTATATGGAAGCATCCTCAGGTAGTGAAGATTCAAATTTGTTCAAATAATAACCCCCGGGGGTAGGGTGGGGCCACAATGGGGGATCAAAGTTTTACATAGAAATATATAGGAAAATATCTCTAAAAATCTTCTTCTTAAAAAACAGTAAAGCCATGATTGGTCATATTTATATGGAAGCATCCTCAGATAGTGAAGATTCAAGTTTGTTCAAATCATTACCCTGGGGATAGGTTGGGGCCACAATGGGTGATCAAAGTTTACAGAGGAATATATAGGAAAAAGTCTTTTTCTCAAGAACAGAAAAGCCATGATTAGTCAAATTGATATGGAGGCATCTTTGGGTAGTGTAGAATGAAATTTATTCTAATGAGGGCCCCCGGGGGTAGGTTGGGGCCACAATGGGGGATCAAATTTTTACAAATGAATACATGGGAAAAAAAATCTGCTGCTCAAGAACAACAAGGCCATTTGTTATATTGATATGAAAGCATCATCAGGTAGTTTAAAATTCAACACCCCCCCCCCCCTCCCTGTAATCTTTTCAATACTTACTGATTTTTGCTTTTTTTCCTAGCCAATGTGCTCAGGTGAGCGATGTGGCCCATGGGCCTCTTGTTGAATGTCCTCTTCTATTTCTTAGGGACAACCCTGAAATGATTAATTCAGTCAGAAGCTTTGGAATCTATTGCATTGATATTAATTAATATATACACAAAGTAAATATTAACATGATCATGATTAATTGTGAATAACATATTCAGTGAGTATGTGAATGTGAGACCAAGCCTCAAGACCATAAACTGAGAATAGACTTAAGTCAAAATTTTGATTTTTAATATCTTGAGTTTTATCTAATGTATTTGCTTAAAAATGTGCTATTTTATATAACATTTAAATTCAAATATAAGATGAAAATTTTGTTTCAATATCAAAATTATTTCAAAAGATATATTGGTTTGAAAATTGACTTAAGTCTATTCTCATTTTATGGTCTTGGGGCCAAATAAAGTTGAAAATACATGTATATTTTAAGAATTATAGATAAATTTACAAGCCTGTCAGTGTGTTTTATTTAGATCAAATAAGTACATATATGTATGTAAGGCAACATTAGGTTATTTACAATACTTGAAGAAACTTGGGTCATTTAAATTGAATAGTTTTATTTTGGAAGTTCAAGGCCTTCCAAATAACCAATTGTGTATGCTGTGACAGGCCTTGAAGGACTTGAAGGGTAGTCTAAACAGCAACTCAGTCAAAATGGGATACCATTACTATACAAATGTAGCCCATTTCTAATCAAATCTCATTAAAAGAATTGATGCCATTGCCTCACAAAGAGTAAAAAAGTGCATATCAGACCTATTACAATGTACATGTATAATGCATTTCTTGTCATATGAATATTTAACAAGTACATATTAAGACAAAGTGTTACACATGTACATAAAAATTTTCAAAATTTTCTCATGGTAATCAGGGAAATCAATAATCTGTTGTTGATTTTTTTGCAAGAGATAATTAAGCTACATGTAAATGTGTATAATATTTTCCTACTTTGTCATGATTAATTAAGTATTCTTCTACTGATCATATTCGGTCGTAATCATATTGCACAGCCTGATAGCCATATATATAACATGTCTGGTAAAAACTTTCACCAATTAAGTTATACATGTGTGAATTGCTAAATCACTGTATAAATTCATTTATTCATCTGCTCAGAGTTTGTCCATCTGTTTACTGTCTATCAGCTAAAAATCGCACATTTCCAATGTCTCCCCAAGAATCTTTGGGCCAGTTTCAATTGAATTCACAAAAATGCATTCCATTGCAGTTAATTAAGATTCAAATTTTGAAAAACAATTTATGGTGGTGCATATATGGCATTATGCCCCCTTCAAAGGGGATATTATTGATAAATAATGAAAATTGGACTAGGTCATGTAATTTTCTTCTTGAGAAACATATTGAACTAGAACAAACAAGTACATGTATACACTGACAAAATGTCAGAGATACTCAAGCTGTAGAAAGCCAACTAAGAAGTGTCATAAATGTCCGTAAATATGATATACATTGTAAGATGTACATGTAGGCTACTGAGATTCAATAACTTCTGTTGAATTAAAATATGCACTAGAAAACAAATAGTATAACACTGTAGCATTCTGAGATTAAACATGATCAATACTAATTTCAGCATAAAAAGAAAGGAGTCTGTCACTGGAGAGGAGAAATTTTTAGAGACCAAAAAGTAAGTCCTCATTTTAATACCAGTGTATATTTATGTAAATGTTATAAGCAAACACATGTTAGATTACCAGTTATAGGTTAATTTATCAGGTTTTACGTACATGTGAGAGTACATGTACTATATACATGATAATTAACTGTAACACATAATCGTATATCACATATAACAGGTATAATTTACAATAATCTCATGATAAAAATTTCACCAGCCCTGAGCCATATGAAGTCCCAGTTTTTATATCCTTGGATAACAAATCTGGGGAAGGGGCCGGCGTACATTAAAGACACTATAATTATATGTCCCTCTGTCTGTACACATTTTTTTCCTTGGAGATTATTCTGATTTAAATTTTTTTTTTTTTTAGATTATGTAGATAATATAAATTGTGCTGGTACCATTGGAACATGTGCACATGGTATTTTCATTTTTCAGATTAATTTCTCAAAAATGAACAAATATTAAGATTTCATTCTGCATAACTTCTGTGATGACAGGATTATGAAGAGTGAATTCTTGTCGGGACATAACTTTTTAACTGAGAAACGTTACAAGCTGGTCGATACTTCTTAGAAAGCTTGCTTAAGACCAGAGGGGTATCTTGATCCTTTACCAAAGTAGTATTAAATGATCATTCTAGCCACAGCTCTAAAATGGAAAAAGTAACAACTCTTTTGGACAAGTTCAAGGTCATAATTGGTATGAGGTGTAAAATTCTTTTCCATAGCATAATAACAGAAGTAAGAAGGTTATACTTGCCCTCAGGGTTGATTATTGTCATAGATTATATCATGATCCTGGACAAAGGTCATTTAGACTCGACCAAGATCTCAGTGTTCAGAAGTGTCAGATTCTCAAGATCTCAGAAATGTTCAATTCTAAGACAAAGTTTTGCATAGAAGGCACATCCAAAGGTTATACTTGGCAAAATGTTGCTTTGACCAAGAGGTTAATTGTCATGGTTCTTAAAGTTGAATAAGAGCTCTTGTTCTCGCATTTTTAACTTATTTCATCCTGATGTCAGAAAACTTCGTCGAGAGGGTGAAAAACTTCGGAGGGAGCGGTTGAACCACACATTGAGCTTGCTGGCAGAGGAGGTGCCATGGCTGAAGCAATGTGAAAGGAGACCTGACAAGAGCAGCATACTAAAGCTTACTGTTAATTACCTCAAATTAAATATTGGTGAGACACTTATATATCCAGATAGGAATTCTTTTACTTGCTGGTTTTCTTATGCATCCGATATAAACATGAAAAAGGTTCATATTCTAAAATGTGATGATTAAGTTTTTAAGAAGTACTTTTATTTATTGTAAAAATGGTTATTAAATTTGGGTTACCTTGTCTTGTAGGTATAAAGAAAAGAAACTTGAATTCTATTCTGCCATCTTTCTTGAAAGATTCAGTGACTGAAGAGTTCTTGGAATCGGTAAATATAAAGATAAATACTAGGTCTTAGTTTATTATTGGCTGCATTTAACTTCCTCATGCATGTCAAATACTGTATGTGTACCTAAAGCTTTAGCGGCTTTGGGAAAGACAATAGTTCCCTAATTCATGAATACTGTCAACATTATCCTAAATAAATACAATGCTTGGGAGGACATCTGTAGCGCTTATTTATGGTTACCATGGTTATGCCAATGACTATTTTTCAAGACATTGCGCTTAATTTTGAATATGTTAATTTACGTACATGTACAGTAGCTTGAAACATTGAATATGATATGACAAACATTTAACATGTTGAATTTGTATTACATTGTAATACATACATGTAAGTCAGAAGGTGAAAAGGTATTTACTAGTTGGTTTTTGAATACACTGGTATGTAGCAATACTTAGACCAAACAAAAAAATATGTTTGTTTACTGTTACATGCTGAAATAAAATAGGGTCGGTAGGTAGGAATTTTTATTTATTTTATTGAATTTTTTTAATACACAAATTCACAGGAATTGGTTGAAGTACTTTCAATTTCGCTTGTCCGATAAAGATGCATGTAAAAGTTAAACTGACCCGCAAGTGACTTTCGGGTTTTTATGATGAAAAAAATCTGGGTCGGCAATTAAATATAGGGTCGGTCGGGTAACCGTAAACAAACACATTTTTTTATTATGCCTTATATTTGTTTTGACATTATAATGCTAAAAATGTCAGACAAAAATGTTTTCATGTACATTGGTGATGGAAGTATGTTATAAAAATGCTTCAAAATAGTTACAATTATTTACAATACATTGTGAATAGAGCATAAATTAATTGGTACAGTATTTAGATTTTTTTTAATACAGTAACATGTATGTTTTATATAAATCTCTTTTTTTGACACAATATACCCAAATTTTACTCTGTTATTTTAGGTTGCTCATGGATCCTTGCTTATTGTGTCGGAGTCAGGGACTATACTTTACATGTCCGAATCTCTCACACAACAACTTGGCTGGCTCCAGGTATAATTATGGTAGTTCTGTTAAACTGAAATTCAGATTATTATGATATCAGGATGGTTTTGGTTATAATTTATTTTTTGGTGAAACTGGCTCCTAAAATGCTTATTGTATGCATTTTTTCATGTGTTACAACTGTATGTACAGTGTTTCCAAAAATGAATGGTATTGATTTAATCTCTACCTTTTTTTTCTCTGATGACTTCATCTGGATCATTAATTTTGTTTTTTTTTCTGTATTTATTCAAACAAAAATGCCTTTATGATATAAGATAATTTTTAAAGTTTTTTTCATATAGTGCAGTTTGGAATATTTTTAGCTAAAACAGATAATTAAAGAAAAAAGTTCATTTAATTAATGTTTTCAGTGCATGGACTTGTTCATGTTTGAAAACGAAGATACAATCATAAACATCTTTTTAAGAAAAATTTACGTGACATTTATCATGAGTGTGGTAATTTAGCTGCGTAGTATGAAGTCGGTCAGTATCTAAAAAAGTGCATCTCCCAAAGAGTGCCAAAGAGAGGTAAACAAAAGTCTAATTAATTATGGTTTCAGTTGGACATGCTGAGTTATACTAAGTCCTAATCAATAAATGATAAATACAGTATGAATTTAAGTAACTATATAATTATTCATAATTTACACAATAATACATGATTTTTGCCATCTTTGTGAGAACTACAAGATATTTGTTTCACATTGATGATCCTAATGAGTTAAACTTAATTTGTTATGATCGAGTTTTGTCAGATTTTTTTTAGAACAGTGTGAGCTTTCATATAATTATATATATATTAATCAAAATGTTGGATTTTTGTAAATTCCCTAACCAGTTTTATTTATAAGCACATTTTTCTGGAAGTACCCCCTAGTTTTTGAACTTCAGTTTTGCGGAGTACATGTACTTATACATGTAACCAGTATTGTAATAATGCTAAGAGTGTATCTCATGTTTAAGTTTGAAACCAATAAACCCAGTTACTGCTTAATATTATGAATTTATTTCAGTTGTAGGGAAATTTCCATTATTTATTCATGATGTTGACTGTTCAATGATTTTAAACCCGACCATTTCAGGTGGATGTGTTGGGCAGCCCAATTAACAAGATGTTACACAAGGACGATGTGGAACTATTTAAATTACAGTTTAATCAAGACAACAATTTCCATTACACAACAGAACAATACACAGAGGAGAATAAAACTTATATACCAGGTACAAAAGAATTACATCTATCATGTCTATGTAAAGTATATTTACTATACCAGGAGTAAAATTATATGTACCGGCATGTGAGGGTTGAGGTACAGCTTAGTTGGTCCTATATACATGTAAAAAAAAAAAAAAATGAAATATTTTTAAGATCTGAGTAAAGCTCCAGGATGGTGTCGACTTGGATATATACATATAAAGTAAAACTGTCTAATCCAACACCTGTGCAATCTGTTTCACTGTGAATGCCAACCTTTTTTGATTTCTAGTGTACAGCTTTCTTTGGTCTTTACACTATTCAATCCTACACCCTATCTATTCCGACATAAAATTTGTCTCCCAGTGCATGTCTGCCTGATAAGACAGGATTCACTAAACATATATTTTGTGAATGCCTTGTTTCTAATTTTTTTTCTGTAAGTTTGAAACTGTTCCATGTTCAACGATTGTATTTCAGTGCACTCATCAAGAAGAGTGAAGAGATCATTCTTTGTGAGAATGCAGAACCTGAGTCATGTATCAGGGACTACACCTAAGTATGAGGAAATGAGAATCAGTGGCCATGTTTATTGTCATACACAGGACAAGAAGAAGGACAGATCAGGTATGTCTACCATTATAAGCCTGAAACAATACATTCTGTTTTAATTTATGTTTTATTTTACAATATGTCAGTTTATACTTCAAGATTAAAAATCTTAAGTTAGCCTAAACAACATATTAGAACTTGCAGGCATGTCTGTAGTGATTATGGTCTTTATAAGCCCCCAACTATCTTGAATATACTTAAAAGTTTACTTATATCAGAAAGCTAGCATATAGTTTTTTGAAGGACTAGTGGTCCTAATTATTAAAAGAATTTCAAATTACCTTAACTTTTTAATTATCTCCCCTTCAAGAACAAGGGAAAATCCCTTCATTTGAAGAAACTTGATAATTTGATTTATCCCATGTTTACCCCTTTATCCCATGGATATGACTCATTGGAAATTTTTTTCATAACCCACAGTTAAGTGCAGTTGTGACGTCACAATGGTTTTTGCGTTAGAGTGATGAAGTAAAGTAAAGTGGAATCCTATATAAAACAGTGTAAAACATTGGTTGTGAAGTATTAAACATGGGATAAAAAGAATCTCCCATGATTTGTAGTTGGATATGAAGGACTAGTGGTCCTAATTATTAAAAAAAATTTCAAATTACCTTAACTTTTTAATTATCTCCCCTTCAAGAACAAGGGAAAATCCCTTCATTTGAAGAAACTTGATAATTTGATATACACAAGGACACATTGTGGTAGGTTTTCTCAACTTGGCCAGTGGTGTCAATTATCTTTGCTTGAGAATGAAGAAAATAATTTATGTTTTTGGTAGTTAAAATGACATTGTAAAATTAAACAAAATCTTTTTTGCAGTTTTAAATGAGAGTTGGTTAGTAGGTGTTTGTATCCCAGTGGCACGACAGGCCTTATTGAACATGCAGGCTTATGAAGATAGCAACAATCCTGAATGGGTATCCCAGCATGCAATGGATGGCAAACTCTGGTATCAGGATCACAGGTGCTTTACTCTTATATTCTTGATCAGTCGTCTGTATGCAAATCTTAAATGTGTACCAAAAAAAAAGAGAATGCATATGGCAGCCTCTACTGATCATGTGTTGGTTTATTTGTGTTAATTTTTTATTTGTGTGAATTGCACCTAAGAATATACCTGTGTTTCAGAATGTTTTCTAGGCCCCAAGAATGATATGTGGGGCATATAGTGTTCATACTCATGTCTGTCTTCCGTCTCTGTCCATCCATCACACTTTGCGATTGGCTCAGTTTCAGAAAAACTGTTCAAGATATGTTAACTGAAATACATACACTGATACATATTAGTGAGAGCTATTCATCTTTGGCATAATTTTTTGACATTGATCTTCAATTTGACCTTGACCTCACCATTCCTGATTTGGTATTATGCTCAGTTTCAAAGCAACTTTTCAAAATATTTGTATCAAAACTCTTGCACTGATACATGCATGTATTAGAGGGAGCTATTCAACTGTAGCATAATTTTCTGACCTTGACCTCACTTTTCCCTGTGTGTTAAGATCATTTTCAAAGCAACTATTGAAGATGTTTCTATCAAACTCTTACACTGATGAATATTATTGGGAGTTACTCAACTGTGGAATAATAGTGACCTTGACCTTTCCTATTGTTACTCAACTGTGGAATAATAGTGACCTTGACCTTTCCTATTATCTTGACTTCACTATTCCTAATTCTGTGTTTAGCTTGGTTTCAAAGCAACTATTGAAAATGTTTTTTTTTTAAACCAAAACTCTTACACTGATATATATTAGTGGTATTGCTTATCTATGTAATAATTTTCTTACCTTGACATTTCCTATGGCCTTGACCCCATTATTCCTTATTATGCATTTAACTCAGTTTCAAATAAACTATTCTTGATATTTTCATCAAACTTCATGCAAAATTTAAAATTAATTAGGCCTATTCAAATGTGTCATTATTTTCTAACCCTGACCCCAGTGACCTTTACCGCACTTTTCCCTATTATGTGTGTAGGTCATTTTCAAAGCAATTATTAAAGATTTTTTTATTAAAACTCTTACACTAATACAGATTAATGGGTCCTACTTCATAATTTTCTGACCTTGACCTTCCCTATGACCTTGACTCCACTTATCCTAATTTTGCATTTTCAAAGAAACTGCTTGCCAATGAGATGTTTTCTTCAAACTTCATAGAGTTATTTAAATGTGTAAAAATCTTTTGACCTTGACTTTCACATGGCGTAAGACCTCACAAGCACAGCAAAGAATAAAATGTTCAAAATATTTTCATCAACATGATCAGTCTTCATACACCAATACAGATTTGTAAGAACTATTTAACTGACAAAATTGTCTGATCTTGACCTTTTCTATGACCTTAACTTTTCAAGATATTTTAAAAAGTTACTGGTACATATTGGTAAGTCTTTAAGAGCAATCAAATCCTGTCATGATTTTTGACCTTGACCTTCAATGAGTGTTATTCCATTGACCTTGAACATTACTTTTTGAGGATTTTTTTTTTTATCAAACTTCATATACTAAAATATTAATAGTGAGAGTCATTATTTTCTTACTTTGACCATTCAAATGAACAATGCCTTGAAATAAGTTCCTAATGATATGATGCTTACTGTAAGGTCAGTGGACCTTTGTTCTCTGAGTTCCCATACATATCCCAGGTTTAAGTTACATATGCACCATGCACAGATAACCACCAAGGGTGAAGTAATTTAAAAAAGAAAGCAATTCTTACGGACTTTCTACCAGATGGCATTTACAAGGTTTGGTCTTCAACGTCATGTAGATAAAATCAGTGATTTAGTTGTTTATAATGCAGAAAATCTAGTTTGTATCGCATATATTTTAGATTAATGTAAACAATTGATCCGCCTTTGTCATATATTTTAGATTAACGTAAACAACTGGTCTGCCATTGTCGCCTATGACGTATCACAGTCACTTGATCGCTATCTAATTAACTCAGATTTTTAATTCAGGGATATTTTTTTTTAGTCAAATAATGTTTTATTAACGCAATATATCTGCACCTAAACATAAATTTTATAAACTATGATTGTAAGTAACGTAATATGCTTTTAATTTCAAGCAATTGAGAAACATGCAATAAGTCCTTTAAAGGGGGAAACATTCTTGATTGGAGTAAAGAGAGCAATTGAAGATTTTATTTATGCACAATAGTTAGTTCAATTATTTACTTAATTCATTTATTATTTGAATCACACAGAATTGCCTTGGTAGTTGGAGTGATGCCAAATGAGCACATTGGAATGTCAGTGTATGACCTTGTCAACAAGAATGATTTGAAGGACATTGCCTGTAGTCACATGAAAAGTAAGCTCTCTATGTTTGATTTCTTTCCATTTATTTGCAATAAATTATTCAGTGCAATGGTTATGTAATATGAAGATGTCTTAATTATAAGCCCATCTGAACCAATATTTTAATGGTGATACATATTTTGCATGTATAAGAATGATATTAAATGTAGTCATTTGTTGTATCTTCAGAATATGTATTGCAACCAAAAAGAATGTCTTGATGACTTTGTTTAGTATTTATATGACTACACAATACCATCTTAGTCAAAATTCATTTAAATATACATGTATCAGGATCTGCATTTCTGTATACTCAAAGGCATAAAACCCTATTCCCTGCCAGGTTGTTGCACTTGAGAGAAAGAATGGTGCATCAATGAAAATGAAGGTCTTTTTGTATAATCAAACAAATTATGAGATGTTTGATTATGGATTGTGTGTATTCATACATGTAAAGTAGTACACATGTACCTGGTATTAGTTACAATACATGTACATGTAATTGTAATATTTCAAGCAGTAATTTTTACCATAACTTATCCATAAGATATTATACACTTATCCACTGTTTGTGGGTGGGATAGCTCTTTTATCAAACCCGCGACAGGAACTATTCCCCGAGGGCTTGCCCGAGGGGAATAGTTCCTGTCAAGGGTTTGATGAAAGAGCTATCCCACTCACAGCCAGTGGATAAGCGTTTTATTATACTGATGTATCTCATAATTTCTGAGGGTTTGTATTACCTAATACTACAGTTTCATAGGCAAAACATGAAAAGAATAATTATAATAGTTTTGAGCAAGTATTTGGAATAAGATAACACTGCTGAATGAGCTGAAATCTTGATGACATCACAATGCTACTGAAGTCAGGATGACATCATCAGTCTATAGACTGATTATAGAAAATCAAAATTGGCGGCAAAAATTGCATGAAAATTTTCCGAGGGGTGGATAGCAAAACTATACCCCGGGGTATAGCTTTGCTATGCGTGGAAATTTTCAGACTATAAAAGATAGTTATTTTACCTTCTTAACTTTATATAGGAAACATTTTAACAGAAGTATAATAATGGTTAATAGCAAATTCTTGTCATAAAAGTGTTTTGTATCTTTAGCTTAACAAATGAATTTTTACTTTTTAATTACTAGTATGACCAAGATTTACCAACATGAGATGTCAAAGAATGGTTAAAACTCAAAAACTGCTATGATATAAATTAATTGAAATAAAAAAAAAGTCCAAGGCAGCTGCAAACTTAATAACCATGTATGATTGAAGAGCAATGATAATTGAATATTTTGTATATATCTACTTGTATTTTTAAAGAAGAGAATCCTATAGAGGCATTCAAAGTTTGAATCTATTGGGAGTTAGTGTAACTTCAATGGGTTATAAAAAGTTTACAAAATACTTTTATGCATATTGTGCACTACTCACTGATCAAAGGACATGATTAAGAAGCAATTAATTCTGGAGTGATATCCAGATATTTCCTTTTAAGGATATTGAATTTGCCTCTTTGATTAGAAAAAAAATCTCTATTTCATGAATTCATCAATTTTTTTCGATTCTTAAAAGTGATTATGAGATTGTAAAAATCTATGAATTTTGTTCTATCTTTTTCTCTCTTGCTGATTGGTATGTTTGTTTATAAGTTATGACAGATGATGAGATTCCGTGTACAGTGTTTAGGTTGAGCTCATTGAATGGTTGTGGTCCAGAGAAATACATCAAATCAAGGTCTGTGATAGTCAAAGATGCCTGGACGAAGAAGAATCTCTTCATTGTCAGCTTAAACCAGCATATTAGGTGAGTTCAGGAGAGACTAATGGTACATGTATATGAAGTCAGGTAAACAAGCACTTTCTGCAATTTATCTGCTCTAAGATGCAGAAGGCACTTTGTATGGAAGTGTATTAGTGCTTCTGTAAGTTGGAGCATTATTTTGTATTGTATTTTGTTTATTTACTGGGCTAGACCTTTATTAAGAATGAAATCTGACAATACTAATATTGTGTGCTAGCGTAGGTACATACATGTATTTTTTTCAATAACTGTTTAACTATTGGCCTAATAAATATAATTTCAGTGATGAAGAGGGACAGGTCTTACTACAGGAGCAGGGGAGGAGGGTGAGAGCATTAATAGCAGCCACCAAAAGTGTGACACTTCAAGAGAAAAACTTTAGTGAGGAAAACAGTGACAATGATGTGATATCAACAGCATCAGACACTAGCCAGTCCCCAGCCATCAGTGAAGGGAACTCTGATGATGTTATGGGATCAAAAAGCAGTGTAGACACTCAGAGTCCAAGTGACAGTGATTCAATCCCAGGAGTCACATTGGCTAGTGCTAGCCCATGTGAAGAAAGTGTATCTAATAGCAAACACTCCTTAAAGAAAGAATCACTTCCACTATTAAAAAGTCTTCTGATTGGGCCTAATCATATAAAAGGGACAGTAAATAAATGTGCAATTGTCGAGAGAAAGTCACAGAATAGTACTTCTCTGTCAGAAATTGAGATGTCTAGACACTTGAAGAAAGGTTATCAGCTTCTGAATATGAAAGCTGAATCAACAAACTATGATGAATTTTGTGAAAGGTTAACTGATATTAATAGCTCTATTAGTGTTACAGAAAAGGAAAATGTTTCTCTGGATATTATTGATGATGACCTTGTCAACCAAACTGTGACAGAAGTGCCACCTGCTGGGAAGTTGTCTCCAGCATCATTATCAGGGGGAGATAAGTCTGCTGTAAATAATCAGCATTTCATGACTCAAATTTCTCAGTTTTTCCCGAGTGTGTCCTCAGAAGGTGTGTTACATGCAGGACAAAACCATTGTGAAATAAACACAAACAGTGCAAGCTCTCCTCGTCTGTCTGTAGTCAATTCTTCAAACAGGATATGTCCAATAGAGAAAAGGGGTAGTAGTACTTTGAACATGGGTGAGAATTTCATGGACTCCTCAACGCCATTACTTGAAAATAAAGAGGACAAATCAACAAGACTTACAGGTAAAAAATTTAGATACATTGATGACGGAGATAAAGCTTAAACTTAACCCATGATTTCTAGAAACCCAGCCTGAGGAAGTGTAAAAACTTGATAATTATATCTGACATGATGTACATGTACAAGTATTGCAATTTTTAGCTCACCTCAATGAAGTTGGGGGAGCTTATGTAATACCCTCGGCGTCGGCATCTCAGGTTAAGGTTTTTGGAGCAGTTTTCTTTTCAAGTACTTCTATGGCCTATTTTAGTCAGAGATGCATGGAGGATGCTTCTAGTGTGTTTTATTGTACCAGTCAAGGTTTCAGATGCTGCAATTTCAGCTAAAGAATGACCAGGTTAATGTTTTTGGAGCAGGTTAAAGTTTTTGGAGCAGGTCTCATTTCCAAGTAACTATAAGCCCTATATTGACCAAACTTGCATGGATGATACATCTAAGGATGCACACTACTGAACTTGCTTCGGATGCTGGATCTGACCTACATTTTCCGGATGAGTGACTAGGTTAAAGTTTTTGAAGTAGATCTCATTTCCAAGTAACTATAAGCCCTATATTGACCAAACTTGCATGGATGATACATCTAAGGATGCACACTACTGAACTTGCTTCGGATGCTGGATCTGACCTACATTTTCCGGATGAGTGACTAGGTTAAAGTTTTTGGAGTAGATCTCATTTCCAAGTAACTATAAACCCTATATTGACCAAACTTGCATGGATGATACATCTAAGGGTGCACACTACTGGACTTGCTTCGGATGCTGGATCTGACCTAAATTTTTGGGATGAGTGATCAGGTTAAAGTTTTTGGAGCAGATGTCATTTCCAAGTAACTATAAGCCCTATATTGACTAAACTTGCATGGATGATACATCTAAGGATTCACACTACTGGACTTGCTTCGGATGCTGGATTTGACTTACATTTTACGGATGAGTGACCAGGTTAAAGTTTTTGGAGCAGATCTCATTTCCAAGTAACTATAAACCCTATATTGACCAAACTTGCATGTATGATACATCTAAGGATTCACACTACTGGACTTGCTTCGGATGCTGGATCTGACCTACATTTTCCGGATGAGTAACCAGGTTAAAGTTTTTGGAGCAGATTTCATTTCCAAGTAACTATAAGGCCTATCTGAACCAAACTTGCATGGATGATGTATCAAGGGACGAACAATCTCAAAACTTGCTTTGGATGCTGGATTTGACTTGCATTTTCTGGATGAGTGACTAGTTTTAAGTTTTCAGATAAGTCTATTCCCAAGTAACTGCAAGCCCTATCAGACCAAAGTTGCATAAATGTTGCATCTAGGGATGCACACTCCTAGATTATTAGTTTAGTGTGGGACTTTGCCTTACTTAAAGACAACATTCATTGAGGTGAGCTCTGTAATCTCTGATTACCTATGTTTTATTAAATTTTATGATACATCATTATATTTTTTCCCCTAACTATACACAGCTTTATTTGAAATTGCATATATATACATTATTTTTTTACATCTTTAGTGGTAACTTAAAATTTGTCAAATGCCATGAATAAATGCTATTTGTCATGTTTGTAACAGTATCCTTTTTTTTCCTGGAGAGGTGACCTAAATTGTGCAAAGTGTACTCGGATGAATTGAAATATTTGTGAATAGATCACAGATATTGGAAAGGCTTTTCTGTTCTGTGTTGCTCTTTTTCAGTTTTTATTATATTTGGGAACAATATTATCATTGTCACATGTACATGTAGATTATTTTAATTGCAGAATTGAATCAAGTCCAGTCTCCAACCATTTCCTCACAAAAATCACCAGTCAAAAGTGATTCAGTAAGTTCAGACTTCATGGGTAATAAATTCCATGAGATGAGATATTAAAAAAAATTACAAAGAGATGTAATTTTTGCTGTGTTTTCATCACCAATTATTAATATGTTTAATGTTTAAAGGATAGAAGAATCTGACAGTGTGTACAATAATTGTACTTTCAATACTGAAACATACATTTAGCAATCAAAGTAAAATTACTGTTTTACCAACATACTCTGAAATTGAAATTTGATTTTCTTTTGCATTGTAGTGTGTTCAACACTCAAGTGAGAAAAACGTAGAGTTACGGTTTTACCAACAGCTTAAGAATAAACATAACACTCTAGCGAAAAGTTTACATTCCCAGAGTCAAGAACTAAACACCATGAAGAAAAACCTGCAGGGCTATAAGCCTTATCCCAAACTCAGAGAAAAGTTAAACCTCCTCCAAGTAAGCTATGTAATTTTTTTTAGCTCACCTCGACGAAGTCGAGATGAGCTTATGCTATACCCCCAGCGTCGGCGTTAGCGTCGGCGTCCCAGTTAAAGTTTTAGGAGCAAGTCCCATTCCCAAGTAACTATAAGCCCTATCTGGACCAAACTTGCATGGATGATGCATCTAGGGATGGACACTACCACACTTGCTTCAGATGCTGGATCTGACCTAGATTTTCCAGATGAGTGACCAGGTTAAAGTTTTTGGAGCAGGTCCATTCTCAAGTAACTATAAGCCCGACCTGGACCAAACTTGCATGGATGATACATCTAGGAATGGACATTACCACACTTGCTTCAGATGCTGGATCTGATTTAGATTTTCCACATGTGAGACCAGGTTTAGATTTTGGAGCAGTCTCATTCCATAGTGACTATATGCCCTACCTGGACCAAACTTTCATGGATGATGCCTCTAAGGATGTACACTAACCAACCTGCTTAGGATGCTGGATCAGACCTAGATTTTCCACATGAGTGAATTTTAGCCATATTTTAACCAAATTAGCATGGATGATGATATATCTAGGGATGGACACTTCCAGACTTTCTTTGGATTCTGAATCTGACTTATATTTTCCAGATGAGTGACCAGGGTAATTTTTTTTTTGGAGTAGCTATATAATATTATGGCCTGTTATGATTAAACTTGCATAAATGGTGCATTTAAGGATGAAACTTCCAGACTTGCTTTGGATTTTGGAACTGACCAAAATTTTCTTGATTAGTAAACAGGTTAAAAGTTTTTTGAGCAGGTCTATTTCCAAGTAACTATAAGTCCTACTTAAACCAAACTTGCATGGATATTGATCTTGGGATGTACCCTAACTAGAAAAAAAATATGATGTGAAATTTGCCTTACTTATATATAGCATTTGTCGAGGTGAGCTTCGTAATCTTTGATTACCTATGTTTTCACAAGCAACATGTCAGTTATAGAGGAATCTATATGTTTGTTTGGAAATCTTGTATTTTTGTTGTGTCTCTCCACTCTTTGCATTGAATTGGATCAAAATTTTAACCAGTGGTTTTTTAGGACAGTAATCCAAGGTTATCTGAACAAGGTCATGACCTTGACAAAGTTAGTAATCATTTTGTTTATTAATAACTGTAGTACATGAAAGTTAATTCTTTGCTGAAAGGTTGTAATTACTAGCTATGTCAATATATTGTAATTACTAGCTATGTCAATTTATTGTAACTACTAGCTGTGTCAAATATATTGTAACATCAATATATTGTAATTACTAGCTATTTCAATATATTTAGTCTAGGTCATATTGATCTATTGATTGAAGTAAAATAAAATTCTTATATGTAGCGTAATGTAACTTTATATTTAAAAACAGATAAATATTAAAAACTCACAATTGCAGGGAAATGGTCAGAGGGTTTGTCTTGGCTTTAAAGCAAGTCAGAACAAGACAAATATCATTGACAGATCTGGAAAAAAAAATCATAACTGGAGTTGTATATGAACATTTCTTTGCATGGCCATGTAGGAAAATGGTCTAACATGGAAAAAAAATTTTACATTGAAATACATATTTTCCTCAAGCACACCTTTTTTCTAATTATTGTGTCTTTTTGGTTTCAGAGAGAAGTACAAGAACAAAGCACAATGTTACATGACTTAGAGAAGCTGATGATAGAGAAATTTTCAACAACTTTGACAAGTGCACCCATGACTTGAAGAAAGTCAACTGGGATAGCTTCACACATTGCACATTGGTAATGTGTTTTAATTAAGATCCTCTGTAAAGGAAACTCACATTTGCTTTTTGCTGATTTTTCTTGTTTATTGGGTAAAGTGAGTTCTTCTCTCTTTGGAACAAGTAGAAGCAATAAGTTGAATTTTGTACTCCATCGATGTCCTTAACTGTTAATGTATTGGCTTATGGGTGTGTTAGAGTTATGCTTTTTTTTAGCTTACCTAGAAGGCTCTAGTGAGGTATTCAGATCAAAGCTTGTCTTAAGTGTCCATCTATCATGTAGAATGTGCCGTCTCGCTGTCTGTAAACTTTTCACATTTTCATCCTGCCTTCCAGAACAGCAAGCCTTAGCTTGAACAGCCTTATTTTTAAAATATAACAATAGACACAAAGTATTTGTGGGTAAAAAGAATTCAGTTGGAGCATGTTCAGATATAGGGCTTACCGGTATATACCGGTAGTCCCATTTTTGAGATAAGCAGGAAACAGAGTAGAACAGGTTGGGCACAGTTCCTTTTTCAGGGAAGTATTACTATAAAACGGGATTATTCTTCTTTTCAGTAATAAAAAACATTACTGTATACAGGAATTTTCATCATATTTTTAAAATAATGCCCCGAATCCGTTTATCAAATAAAAAGTGCATGAAAAATACGACATGATGTGTTTAAACTTTATTAAACCAACCTCATTGACAAAAAATTTCGGTCCTTTACTGCTGCAGACAGGAGTAAAATGAGATTTAATCGTACGACATCATGAGTATTCTTCAAACGGATGTGAATATTTCCTTATAAGTTATATTATTATTTGTTCAAAAACGGAAAATTTCATAGCTTGGTTTCGTGGAGGTGACATCTTTTGAACATGCATAGGAATTTAAACTCACGTGCAGCAGTAATCCACGACTTTTACTTTAATTTTCCCTGTTGATAAATGATACGAAAAGTATGGAATCTTATAAGGGCATTCATGCTAAAACCATCTTTGAAAAACTACGTTTTAAAATTTAATATTTCAAATAATTATTTTCATTTGTAAAAGAAGCAGTGGTATAAAAAATTATTTTTATGATGTCTTTGAAAGAAATGATATAAAATTAAACTAGAAAGAATAATTTCATGAACGAGTTATCAAGTGCTGAACATATACAATCTCACAATTTTAACACAGATTAGCTTCCGTAAGAAATTTATATCGTAGAAATATTTCATCACTCTTTTTCAGCATTTTGCAGCGATAAGTATTGTAGTTTTGAGCATACGTACACTTAGTAGACTATAAATATTTAGAGGATGTGAAAATATTCTTGCACTTAATCTTTTATTCAAAGAAAACATGAAAATAGAGAGTAAACGAGTGAAAATTCCTGTATATGGTATTTTTTTTATTACTGAAAAGAGGAATAATCCCGTTTTATAGTAATACTTCCCCGAAAAAGGAATTGTGCCCAACCTGTAGAAAGGGTGGTGATATTTGAATATTTTAAGAATCACAAGCATGATCCAAAAAAGAAAAAAAAAATTAGTAGAAAAGTTTCATAATACCCATACATTTAAGTTTTACAACATTTCTTTGTTGAATCTGAATTATTCAGATTCATTCAAATACCTCACTTCTCCTTTGGATGAGGGTGCATTGACTGGAATATTTAGAAAAATTGTTGCCAGGTTAGATTCTTCAAAATGTATTGAATAACAGAGCTTGAATTTCCAATATTGATATGAAATCATTTTCAAGAAGTATAAATTCATTTAGTTTGTGTACACCCCCCCCCCCATCCTCAGTGTAAGGATTGGGCTGTAGATACGGGGAAACAGTATAGGCACAGAGTTTCCTGAATATATGTAGTCTTTCTCTACTACCATATATGAATGCAAAAGAAAAAAATTGATATCAAACTTTAATACACTGAATACATGTATTGAAAAATTTAAAGCCATGCATTTTTATGTTGGGACCATTATAATGCGTTTATTTACATGTATCTACAAATTTACTTGTAGCCCACGTGTCAGGTAGAGAAATGTGATTCAACTGAGATTGTATCCCATATCAGACTCTTGTTTTTTCTTTTAATTGTCCATGTGTGAGATTTTTCTATGTCGAGAATATATTTAGATATATCTGATATGAAATCCAGGGAGATGGCTTTATTTATCATTGATTTCCTTAGATTAAAAAGTACATGTATATGACTGTGTAACTATACATGTATATCATATTTGTTAATATATATCTATCACATTTGTTTATATATACATCATCAATATTTATATTTATAATATTTGTTTATATCATGTTATATGTTGATAAAATTGTTGTATACTTATACATGTACTAATATATATTTTTTTATGGCCCTTTTGGTTTGGAAATGAATGCTAATAGTGCTTGCTATAAACAACGAAATGAAATGTCCCTTGCCCATAGGAATTTTGATGAAATAGTTGTTTTTATGTAAATTTTATGAGAACTTCATGTTTGAATCTTAACTAATATTTTAGGCTGATATAATGGAGGATTTGGTGCACATATTGTTTTTGATCTGTCTGTCTGTCTAGCTGTCTGTCTGTTTGTCATCAAAATTTTGAACCTTTCCCCTTAATTTTTGAATGGTTGGTGCTAAGCTTTCATATTTCCCTTGTATATTCCTTGTGACAAGACCTTTCTCTAGGTACCAACATATTTGACCTCTTGACTTCGGAGTTTGACCTACTTTTGCAAAAACTTTTGAACAGATGGAGCATATTTCACATGTGTATCTTCTGCCTAGACCTTTTTTTAGCACCAACATTTTTGACCTTTTAACCTTGACCTTTGAGTGTGACCTTCTTTTGAAAACCTTTAACCTTGGCCATAACATTTTAACGGTGGGTGTTAAGACTTTCATATATCACCTGTGTATTCCTTGTGACAATTCCTTTCTTTTTTGACCCCTTGACTTTGTCCTTGGAGTTTGACCTTCATTTAAAAAAAACTTAACCTGCCTATTATTTTTGAGGGGTTGCTGCTAGGGCTTTTGTATTTTACTTATGTATTCCTTGTGGCAAGACCTTTCCTTTGATACCATTATTTTTTGACCTCATGACATAGACCTTTAAGTATGACCTACTTTTTGAAAATCTTTAACCTTGGCCATATTTTCTGAATGGTTGGTACTAGGGCTTTTGTGTTCCACAGGTGAACAGTGTATCCCTTGTGACAAGACTTTCTTTCAGTATTAACATTTTTGAATTCTTGACCTTGGATTTTGACATACATTTGAAAAAAGTTGTTTTGAACATATTAAAAAAATTAACCTTGGCCTTGAGCTGCCATATGGGGGCATCAGTGTTTCACAAACACATATTGTTTTAATCTAGTGATTATCCTTTGCCCTGAAGAATTTTGATGTAATAGGTTTTTTTTTCATAAATTTTATGAGAACCTTATGTTTGACTTTAATTTTTGTTAATCTAGTAATTGTCTGTTCTCAATATGTCTGAAATAGACCTTTTTCATATTTACATGCTTGTCTGACTTCTTATAATTTCCTTTTTCAAAAACAAATATGTTTAGATATTGATTCCATGGTGGTTTTTTTTTTTTGTTTTTTTTTTTTTACTAGATGGTAAACAAATTATGGTTACTTTTTCATACTGTTTTCAAAGAATTTTCTGGTAAGATTACTTGAAATATATTAACATTGCTAGTTAAAATCATTTAAGTGCCGAAAATAAGGGACAATCAACGATTGAAATGTCTATTTTCTACTTTTGAAATGTTTGTTAACAATCTCTATATATTTTCCTAATATGCAAGTCTCAAAAATCTTAAGAGAGGTGGGGGTACTTTAAATTTTTACATTTCAAACTTTTTTTTTTTTTGTAATATTTCCTTACACCCTTCACAAAATTCATTGAGAAAGTAGGACTGTTTCCAAATGAGATAATGGATTTAATATTGCTACATACATCATTATTTATCATACATGTATGAGTGTTGTGACGTGTAGTGTTTGTGTTTCTGTACAACCAAGACTCTGACTCAACTATATACTAGTGTTCAGCATGCTTAATTGGATTTCTGCTTCTGATGCTGCACCTATATCTTACATGTATGCTTGGGGAACTTTGGCTAAGAAGTGTCTATAGGTGTGCATGACATTGTATTTCTAGCTTATAATTATTGGTTTCCAGACCAGACTTTTGTATTATTATATTGACATGGATGCTGCACTTACTATCATATGTATGTACTTGAATGTCCTAGGTTAAGGTGTGTTAAGGAGGGATTCTTCTCATCTTTATGGTACTTAAAAATGAATGAAATTTTCATAGATTTGAGAAGATAATATCACTAAGTTATGGTATCAGTTCGATTAAATTTGAGCATCTTATTTTGGGAGCAAGGTCAGGTCAAGGTCATTATCTTTGTCCTTGACATTAAGAATAAAAAATTACTGTTTGCCAATCATGTGATGCCTGCTTCAGTTTCAAATAATTTTTTTTCCTTTTTTTTGCATAAAAAGGAGATACCAGTTGGAGTCTATCAGATAAACTACCAAGTTGATCAGATAAATAATTTAACCAAAAAAGGTATCTGTAAACCCAAGTTTCCTCTATTTTGCATGAAATTTTAAGGGATTATTTGTTATTTTCTATGTTAAAAGTGTATTCATTTTTTCACATATATTGAAGAAGTCATATAAATATACAAAATGATACAATAACAGAAAAATTGACCATCAAGTAAGAGAGAAAAACACTTTTTATTGATTTTTCACTCAAATGTGCTTAAAGATTGGAAGCTTTCAAATTAATTAGCTTATAAGATAGAAAAATCATATTTATTTGTTATAATATTGTAAAACTTCAGTCCAAATTTTTTTTTTCATTTACTTCATAAATTTCCTTCAAGCTTTTGATTGTTTAAAACGTGATCTAAATTCGTTATCCTGTTGTTATGTTGAAAAGCAGAACAAGCCGGCAAATTCACGAAAAAATATTGTC